GCCTCGGTCTCCTCCGTGTCTTCTCCCAAAGCGCACTCGCTAAATTAAAGCTGGGGTCCTTAATTTTTCCCTTGCATTACCAGTTCATGTTGGTTGTGCCAAAAAGTAAATTGTTGTGAGCAAATCAAACAGATTTAATGACATTCTGTATTTCAGACTTTTTTTAAATGTCCCTCATCCTTGTAAAAAACAATAGTTTGGTGCTCCAGTACAATCGTCCACACGTAGCCGGGTATCTACTAAACGGCTGATATTTCTCTTCGTTTGCACCTGTCATCCACATGACAACGCATCATAGAGGAATATATAAAAAACTCGGGGCAAATTGAAAATTTTTGAAAACTCTGTTTATGCATTTGCGTGTAGACAGAGATATTAGTACATATTGTGACGTGTTTTCGCACGTCACAATATGTACCAAAACAACAACAAACAAAACATGCGGCCTCTGATCACTGACGAAGGATCTTATTGCCTTAAAAACTGTTCGCTGCTGCGAGCGTTTCACAGCAGAGAACATCCTCGCTCCACATCAGAGAGCAGCAAAGTGATCACGGGACTCATGCTCGAAAACAACCAAAACAGGAGCTAAACCAGGATTAAACCAGGATTAAACCAGGGCTGAGGACGGGGGTCAGTGCTTGTAAACATATGTCTTTATCCTGAGCTTCTTCTATGACTATAAAAGTGTCGCTACAGAAGTACCGGCGTCAGCATCAAAGCTCCACCCACTTCTGTGGTTTTTCCCCAACGCAGGATGTCAGAGGACGCACATATTTGGAATGTTATGAATGTGATTGAAAACGCAGATGTTCGGTTATGTGTGGATGCAAAATATTTTATAAATGTAGGGGGAAAATTTGGTCTTAAAAATACCCGGCTACGTGTGGACATCCAGTGAGAAACGTTCCGCGGTGCAAAAATAAATAATTGCCACGTCCACCACCACGGCTGTCCTCTGCCCTTTGTCTACCACCACGATGTCGGGTTGGTTCGCCATTACCATTCGGTCGGTCTGTATCTGGTCCCACAGGATCTTTGCACGCTCATTTTCCACCACCTTTGGAGGAGTTTCCCACTTAGACCTTGGAGTTTCCAGCCCATACTCTGCACAGATGTTTCTGTACACTATGCCAGCCACTTAGTTATGAGTTCCATTCCAAGTACATATATATACATGAAATTAGTCTAGTATTATGTATTGATTTCACATTACTGTATAAGGTGAATTACCGAAACAAACTTTTAAGCAAGGTTTTTTCATGCATGTAAAACATGCATGTACATGGACTTGTGAAACATCCATGTGAAACATGCATTTTTTTATTTTAATTTTAGATATTGGATTATTGATTTTTTCTTTTTTTAAATCTTTAGCTCTATTTGTTATGTTTTAAAAGTTGAGCACCCCAGATTTCAATAATAAACATGAAGTACAGGAGTAAAATAAATCGGGCCTAATCAACGCTTAGTTTTAAAAGCTGTGCTAAGCAGCTATAAATGACACACTCTTTACTCTTCAAGCAGCGCGCCGTTTCGCTAAGCACAACATAATCATCTCATTTCCACGGCAGCGTCTTCATCACTTGATTCCGCGCACAGTCAACAACACTCGGGCTGCGCGGGCGACTTCTGCACAAACCATCTGCTTCCCTTCACACTCCGACAAGTCTACATCAATGTGTCTCCACCTTCAGCGAGAGGACATGATTGATTTTCTCACTGCTCAAGAATAATAAGGCAGATTGCTGTCAGCGACGCCGTGGTCCATTTTTCAGCTCTAGTGGCTCAGCTGTTTTTGAATCAGGTTTGGGTTTTTTGCTTGTGTTTTTTTTTTTTTTTTTGTCCAGACAAGCTGCCAGATGTTAGAAATCATGTGGCAGAAACTGGCGTGTCTGCAATCATGTGTGATGCATTTGCAGAGTGCTTAATGAGTGTGGATAAAAACAGTTGGTTTTTTTGTCACAACAGCGAACAAAAGGCGAAAGTGATATTGTTCATAAGTAAACCGTCCAAGATCAATTTTTTAATTGTAGACTGCTTAGAGTGTCCTTGAGCAAGACCCTTCACATTGTTGTTAAATCAGTGTGGGTGTATTGTCTTGCTTGTTTTTTGAGTTGTTTTATTTATTGTTTATTAGGTTTGGACAGGTAAGGATTAAACAACGAGGAGCATTATACAGATATAATGCACGACGCTGAGTCTAGAACACCACAATTCGCAGCGGAGAGGTTCCTCTGCAAAGTGCTGAATTTAATAGTGTGTGAAATGTGTATTGACTTTACTGAACTAGCCAAATATGCTTAAGTATAGGGATTATTTAACAAATCTGAAAACAAAACATCTGCCTTAGGAACCATTGTAAAGAGAAATGTGAACTATTTTTATTAACACGCTGACAAAACATTGACATTTACACAGACCAAATAGGTATCAATTCAAATTGCACACTTGCCAAAGCAATATTGTTTTGTCCTATTAGTCGCCCAATCGACAGTTCATGTTACAGTGACCATGGCAACAACTGTGGTGGAGTGATATAGAGCATGATTACCGGACTAAGTGTGCGTATATACAAAAATAATGCACAGCAGTTAGCGTTGGAATTCTCACAGACCATGGTATAATGCATGTTTATGAACACACCTCCCACAGTCACTCTCACAAACACTCATTCACCCTGAACTAATGCAATTTTTTGGTGGTAGGGGAAACTGGAACACCCGGAGGAAAAACTATGCAAACACGGGAAGAACATGCAAACTGCTGCACCGTTCCTTGCCGATACAGGAGGGTCTAAGGACTGTGATGATCCAGGACATTTATGGACATTTATTAACGTTTATGGACACTGGTCATCCCGCTCCTGTTTGATTCTCTGATCAGTTGTTAGTGAATCGAAAGTCCTCCGAGACAACTGCTGATCTGATTTAGGGATGTACAAAAATAATCTGACTTAAATTGAAAAATTTAATTTTGTTTTTGCATGGGTTGAAACCGTCTTTGCTAGTCTTTTTCATTTATTTGTATTATGAAAATGATAAACAAAGAAAATACCATTTTTCTATTTTCCTAAAGATCATCTTGCTTTTTACAGTAAATAAACAAGATGATTTGAGACGACGTGTGGTTGTTCTTTTCCTCCCTGTAGCTCATCTGAAGTGGATTAGCCTTACCAAGAGGCATCGGTTATAACTGCTGCCTGATTGTTCCTGAAAGCTCCAGCTTGTTTCAAAGGCACTCATCAGCAGCATTTGCATATTTCGGTTTGAGACACAACCTCAAATGTCAAATTCTGGCTTTGAGCAAAGGAACACGATCATTGAATTGGAAAAAAAACGCAACATGATAAGCCAGTGATTCGCACAAAACCTCCCAATAGTTAGTAGGTCTTGCGTAAGGGACCACATAAATTACTCATTTCAAAGCTCTCTGATCATTGCACTAACACTAAGAAGAAACTTTCAGTACTCACTAAAGAACATGTGGTAATTGAACAAATATGAAAAGTAAGTGTATACATGTATGATAAGTGAATTTAATTTTTTTACAGACCAAGCTCACCCAAAGCGCCTCACAATGTTCAGAGATCAGATATTGCTTCATTCGCTCCGAACGCACTGGCCCATCAAAGCCTCCAACACTATCCATTCAATCACTCATTACATTCATACATTTTGTACATGTTTTTATTGGTAGGGGAAACCGGAGCACCCGGAGGAAACCTAAGTAGACACAGGGAGAACATGCAAACTCCACTCTGTGTTCTCCAATCTTTTTAAGCCTTGGCACACCTTTTCCATTTAAAACAATCACATGGCACACCACCAGCTGAAACTGATGCAAACTGATGTAACTCTGCAGCCTTTATTAACAAAACAAATAAATCATTCTCAAAGTTTATTATATAGATAATCAGAGAAGTCCAAAGGCGTATTTCTAATTTAAAAAATAAATCACAATATTTTGACCTAAACGATATTGGATCATTTCCCAAGGCACACAGAATAACATCTCAGGGCACACAAACGTACCACGGTTGATACAAATAAATTAAATCATTTATTTGGCTTAAATGTTTAATATTTCAGAGGATTGCTTATATTTTGCTCTGAAGTGCATTCTGGGTAGCATTACTATTTTGCTTTGTCTGTCATTTGTGTCAGTGTTTCGAAGCGTTTCATTGGCTCTATGAGTTTCCCGGCTTCACAGTGGCACAGTTTGGTCGCCTTGCTTTGGTCTGTTTGCCCTAGGGCCCCTCTGGCCATATTAGTTTACCATGAATTCAGGACTATAAGCCGCACCTTTTTTCCTGCATTTTGAAGGCTGCGGTCTAATTTCTTCAGTTTGCCAAGAAGTAGACCTACAGAATTGATGAGTAGTTCACAAAGGTCCACATAAATTGTAAGATATGCCAAACAAGCAGAATAAATGAAAAAGTTTAAAAGTCCTCACTTATTATATCTTTGTATAAATATCTCATAATAGACCGTGTGGTTCTCTGTATAGACATGAAAGTGAGACCACAGTCAGGGGCTCACTTTTTACTCTTACTCTTATTACTCACAGTAAAAAGAAGACTTGATGAACGTTTTACATTACATTACTTCCTGCGGCTTTCATAAGTACAAGAAAAATTTGAGTCTGCGGCTTATAATTAGGTGCAGCTTATAGTCTGGAAAATACGGTAGTTTTGTACGTAGTGAATGAACAATGCCATGTTATGTCAGACACATAACAACTAGAAATCAACCATCTGAGTGGTTGACCTACTGCATGCTCATTTACTGACCATTACTGAGAGGGGAGAGCTGGATTACAGGCTGTGTCTCTATTGTATTTTCAACTGTGACTATAACCTTTTCACTAAAAATTATGAGTTTGGTCTGAATTTGTTTGGCAAAAGAGAACTGTTTACAAATATGAAAAGTGTTACATTTTAAGCAGATGTTCTAATCACACTTTTGACAGGTAATTTGTTCTTGCCATATTTTTTCCAGGTTCCTTCAAGCCGAGCTGCTGTAAAGCTCAGAAGTCGCTGGAGTTCATCCCAATTAACCTGCACACACAGAGGATGAGGGTGACGTGCCCTCGGAGAACAGGTACCGGATCCAAATGACATGACCCAGGCAGGGAGTGACTAAAACGGCAGTCTTTGAAAAAATTCAGGATTTTTAGTGTAGTACAGAGGTGTCCAAACCGGTCCAGAAAGGGCCGCTGTGGCTGGAGGTTTTCTATCAGACCCAGCAGGAGCAGAGCAGACTCCTCCCATTTCCTCAAATCTTCAGGGAAGGGTTTGAGTGCGCAGGTTACAAGCGTACAAAAAAGGCAGACTAGTCAAGAGATGGTCATTTTCAGACCTAAACTTTATAAAAATTAAAGGTCATTTTGTCCGACGAAACAAAATGAGTTGCTCCACACACGTTAAAATACATGTATATTGGTTATTCGTAATTTTAGATAACTGTATAATTTAAATTAAATGTGGGTAACTAACTGTTATCTGGTAAGTTTTATACATCCTAAGTTTGTTGTACGAAGTGTAAAGTTTAACATGAATGTTATATGAATGCTTGCTTTAAAAAAGTTATGAAATTGTTTCCTTAGAATGTCCGCAGTTCTTCAGACATTTATGCTTCTTTCCAAGTAACCGCAAAACTTATTCACACACATACAGCATATATATTTCAAAACTTACACTTAAATGCATATTCCCGACGTTTTGGTGTGTACCGCAAAGAATTATGGACAATATCCTTTGCCAGAGTGCGCATAGATGCAGGCTACGGCGAAGTGTGGATCAGGGGCGCAAGGAGGGTGGGGCCAAAGACCTCCCTGGAGAATTGGGACACCCTACGCACTCGCACCCATCATCGGGAACGTGCAAATGAGAGGCGCGAGGGTGGAAGTGCAAGTAATGGGACAGGGCCTTAGACTGAGCTTACTTGAGGAAATGGGTGGAGTCTGCTCTGCTCCTGCTGGGTCTGATAGAAAACCTGCTGCCACAGCTCCCCTTTCTGAACCGGTTTGGACACCTCTGGTGTAGTATGTAAGGAACCCAATTACAAAGAAAACATGGAAATAACCATTTAATTCCAAGTGCTACTTTTGTTCAATTCACAAGATTTCTTATCAGTCTGTGGCCCTCGGCTTGATCTACATTTTAATACTGTCCTCGCTGGGAAACATTTGGGAACTCCTGATCTAATGACTATGTCTAGCCTGAAAAAGGATTATTGTATGTATTTTTACATGTAAACCATTGCTCATTGACAAAGTTTATGGATTAATTTCAATTTGAAAATACTGCTCTATTCTCTGTTGCTATTTATTATTATTATTATTATGTGTTTGTTTGATAGGGACAGAACAAGAAGCATTGTTAGAGGAACCGATGCTGTGTTCCTAGGTCGTATAGCTAACAGCTAGTTTGCAGACCTGGTCCCTAAGACATAGAAATACATCACATTTACATTATACATACATCATTATATAAAAAAATAGGTAAATAAGTAATACTAAATAAAACAACAAACAGATTACGTAGTACAGAAAAAAAATTACAATAGATGATTAGAGTCTTGCGTTATGCTCACAAGTTTGGTTCCTTTTGAGCCATAGTTTGACTTTAACTTTAAACTTCTTCAAGTCTGTTAGAGCTTTCAGTTCTGCAGGTAACTTGTTCCATAGCGGTCTGCAGTGTATAAACCTTTCAATGTTGTCAAATCCATCTACACAAAAGCAATCTATTTTATTGTAGGTTCTTAGACCTGTGTTGGGCAAAAATAATTTTCACAGGAATGAAAACTGTTTTAACAATTGTTTTTGTGATTATAAAATAAGATAAGATATACTTTATTGATCTCACATTGATCTCTTATTGTATGTTTCATATAAATTGCGCTTTGTATAATCCTCCCACATAAGTACTGTTGTGATTTGGGGATACATCAAAATAAATCAATTTGGAATAAATATTATTTTTATTTTTAATATATTTTTTAAAACTCTATCAACATAATCTATAGGTGAAAGCAATTATTTCAATATGAATGCCCTTTTTTGCTCCAGATACATCCATGACACACAAATTCCTTGTGAAACTTTGCAAAACTTTGTGGACTTCAGAAAACACATCTTTATGCCAGTGCTGCTCTGGCCATGTTATTGTGTATTTTCTGTCTACCATCTGTCAGGAATTCTCCAAAGGACTAAGTGAGGTCATTGCCCAGGTAAAAAGGTGAAAAGCATCACTCTAATTAAGTCCATTGGGCTTTGGTGGCATTGGAATTATACATTTGGATTACTGACTAACCAGCAGTCCTATAATACCCCCGTGGTAATATGACGAGCAAAGTTCTATTCAAAAACATGTGAGATAGTAGTTGCTTGTTTAACACAGATGAAGATTTCTTGGAACTCCCATGTGTTGCATGTATGATTAATTGAAAATAATAATAAAATGAATAAGAAATGCTGCTATTGTACTGGCCGCAGACTCACTCAAATGTCTGCTCATGTGGCCAATAATGTAAGAACTCCAAATACTATCCCAGTATCACATATTGTTCTCTAGTATAGACTTGGTTTACCGTTGGTTTCGTTCTGGAACAATAATGTTAGTAGTTGTCGTTAGAATGGGGCGACAGTAGCTCAGTTTGTAGAGCATTGGCCTTCAGGCCTGAAGGTCGTGGGTTCAATTCCCACCTCTACACCTTCTCCACCGACTCCCACTGATGACTGCTGTCGTTGTGTCCTTGGGCAAGACACTTAACCCCACTTTGCCCAAAGCCCCCACTGAAAGATCAAGGCTATGCTCACACAGAGCAGCCGTCCTCCTGTGGACTCACCACCTGCAGAGGGTCAGTGAGGGGCTGGTGCTATGAGACTTGTTAGAGTCTCATAGCACTGACCCCTGACCCAGAAATTAATTAAATTAAAGGGATTAAAGGGTAGAAAATGGATGGATGGATGTCGTTAGAATTTGGTTTGATTTCATTCTAGTTCGTGTGTAATGCTATAATGATAGTTTTTCTTTCCTATTCTTTTGATCAGATCAATTAGAAGTGTCATTAGTCTCTCTATACTAAAAAAAGAAACGCATTAATATAAATATAAGTCAAATTAAATCAAAAGTTACTTAAAAGTTTTCACAATTATTTGTTTAATTGCACAAATTAAGGAAAGTGGGTGAAAAATGTTGTTTGAGCTAAAAACATCTATGAATCTCTCTTACGGATTAAGACAGCCAATGTACTTTGTTAGTCATTTCAGGCTGTTCATAAAGACATGACCATGAAGCCGCAGCTCAGGATAGCATGCAGCTTCTAAATACAGCCAAACACTATTGTTTGTTTGATTTTTATTTATTTAGAAGTGTTGCATTTCTTTGAGTTTGGCGGCGCATTCCACTCAATGATACCAAGCTATTCATTTTCATTTAGCCTATTGATCACCCCACAATAAAAGGAAATCTGGAAAGATAAAAACACTCTGCATGAGTTTTGCTTCAAATAGCTGTCTGCACTCTTTGGAAATCCCAATTCGTGAAAAAAAAAAATCCTTTTTTTTTGGCTCGAGTGCTCGGTGGACTCCATTGTTCAATGCCAATTTGGGTTCTGGAAACTGAACGCTTTGTCATTGTTAAACGGGATTAAGGGCTGTGTTAAGTATGAGTTATAACCACTCATATTGACTGCCACGATTAATTTCCTTCTTCCAGAACATGAATCTCCTGTCTCCTCTGCATTTACGCAATGCAATAAAATGGGGAGAGTGATGCGAGTGGGAGAGCAAGCAAATCAAGCCTAAATTGGCCATTGTGTTTGATGTCCTGAAACCTGCCATTGAATCTGGATGTGTACTTGTGCCGTGGGAGAACCAATTAAGGCAACTTGGACATGTGCAAACCTCCAGAGGCGAGCTGTGTTGTGGACGGCGAATCTGGTGGCCAGAAAGACAGATAATTAATGGAAGGCGCAGTGGGCAGCATCAAACCCATCGCTGGTCCATGGGGCCAAGGGGATGGTAGCTTGTTGGCCCACAATGACGCTCAAATCTCTGAAGCAGCACCCGGAGCTAGTGTTATGTCATTAATTTCTATTTCTGAATCCTCACACACATACACACATTCACATACACACACGCACACAACTGTTGCTTTACCCCGGAGTGTTCATTAGCTGACCTGGAACAAAAAAGCAAACCGAAATATTCACCCCCTATAATCCGTGGATTTCTCCCCTCCTCTCTGCGTAGGGTGTCTGATTTAATTGTCTGCCTTCAAACATTACTCATTCAAAACAAGGCTCCGCTGTAAGCACCCCTCCATGATCCTCGCCTTCTGTGAGCCGTTTATTTACTTTTGATGGCGAAGGGTGGGATTGGAACGGAGTGCGCCACTGACATTGGCCGTCCTTCTGGTGTGACATGAGCTCTGCAGTGCGTTAAAGGGGACATACCATGCAAACTCTCCACAGCTTTTGACCATGTTATTGTCAACGGTCCTTTCATTCCTAATTTATGTTGAATTCAGCGCATCTTTGGCATGTGCAGGAATAGCTTTGCATTTAATTTACACTGGCAGTGTTTGTAATCGGCATAATTACTCGCTACATTGCAAAAAGTTATGGAAAGAGGTAAAAAAGGCTCAAATTTTACAAATGTATCTTAATTTGAGCTCATTTTGACTGCTTTAAAACAAGATTCGGGACAATGGGACAAGCTAAATGATCAGTCTATTAAGAAATGTCTTCTTTTGGAATGAGAAAATACAGCAACAATTCTTGAAATAAGACTTAAATCTTGTTCAGACTGTGTACTCAAAGAAACCACTTGATTCAAGCATCTATTACCTAATATTTTATTATATTTTGGTCCAATTTCAATGCCACACACCCAGACTGTGGGAATCCCAGAACAAGGAGTAGAATGGATGCCACTGGTGTAAAATGAACACTTTCAGATGCGCTGACATCACGTTATCAAGAGAATATGATATGCGCTACACTGTAAGTAGTAGTAAGTTAGTAAGTAAGTTTTTATTTATATACCGCCTTTTCACTGCAGATCTGAGTCTCAAAGCGGTTTACAATTGTTAATTTTGGGCATTTGTCTCTCACTCCACACAGAGATGGGAGCGGGGTCGCCAGTACAGGAAGAACATGCCAGAACTATTGGACATATTTTTAGTGGTAGGGGAAACCAGAGTACCCGGAGGAAACCTACGCAGACACAGGGAGAACATGCAAACTCCACTCAGAAAGGCCCTGGTCCGACCGGGATTCGAACCCAGGACCTTCTTGCTGAGAGGCGAGAGTGCTATCCACTCAGCCACCGTGCCGCCCATTTATTACACTGGTAATAAATTGGGGGTTATTGAGGACCAGTGAAAACCGATCAAGCTATTTTAGGCTGGCATGTACAGTGCCTTGCGAAAGTATTCGGCCCCCTTGAACCTTTCAACATTTTGCCACATTTCAGTCTTCAAACATAAAGATATAAAATTTAAATTTTTTGTCATGAATCAACAACAAGTGGGACACAATCGTGAAGTGGAACGAAATGTATTGTGTATTGTATTGAAAATAAAAACTGAAAATTGGGGCGTGCAATTTTATTCGGCCCCTTTACTTTCAGTGCAGCAAACTCACTCCAGAAGTTCAGTGAGGATCTTTGAATGATCCAATGTTGTCCTAAATGACTGATGATGATAAATAGAATGCGCCTGTGTGTAATCAAGTCTCCGTATAAATGCACCTGCTCTTTGATAGTCTTAGGGTTCTTTTTAAAGCGCAGAGAGAACCATGAAGACAAAGGAACACACCAGGTAGGTCCGAGATACTGTTGTGGAGAAGTTTAAAGCCGGATTTGGATAAAAAAAGATTTCCCAAGCTTTAAACATCTCAAGAGCACTGTGCAAGCAATTATATTGAAATGGAAGGAGTATCAGACCACTGCAAATCTACCAAGACCCGGCCGTCCCTCCAAACTTTCATCTCAAACAAGGAGAAGACTGATCAGAGATGCAGACAAGAGGCCCATGATCACTCTCGATGAACTGCAGATAACTAGTGAACTTCTGGAGTGAGTTTGCTGCACTTAAAGTAAAGGGGCCGAATAATATTGCACGCCCCACTTTTCAGTTCTTTATTTGTTAAAAAAGTTTAATTTATCCAACAAATTTCATTCCACTTCACGATTGTGTCCCACTTGTTGTTGATTCATGACACATTTTTTTTTTTATATCTTTATGTTTGAAGCCTGAAATATGGCGAAATGTTGAAAGGTTCAAGGGGGCCGAATACTTTCGTAAGGCACTGTAAACAGGTAAACCCAATACAACTGAGACAAGACCAGCAGATGCATTGAAGAGCACTGCCTATGAAAAAAATTTGATAAATATTGGCTCCTTATCAGTGTTGGTCAAGTTACTTGAACTCAGAAATGAGTTTCTGGTTACTGGTTACATTGTCAAGAAAGTAATCCAGTTACTTTATTAACAACTACTTTGTTCACAGCTCAATTTGGCTAGAATGTAATGAGTTATATTTCTCATGCCTGGAGTTGTTTAATGTACTGTATATCGTCCAGATAAATGTTCATTCTGCTATTAGAGTAGTTTTCAGCCACAAGGCCCCTTACGGACACGTGGTCTGCTTTGCAAGCCTTCTTCGAGTTGTTTACATTGTATTTGTAACTCACCCACTCACACCTAAACAAACCTATACATAAACATTCAAATGTTTTGAGTATGTATTTTACATTATTTAATTCCATTTTAAACGCATTATGTAAAACACGGCAAACAAACAATTTATTTCATAATCATGGTAGTGCTGCTGGAGGAGGAAGCAGAGCAGAGGACACAGACACCACTGAGGGCCATCACGGACAATACCCCACACCAAGGCTGGACTGTCTATCGGGCGTACCGGGCAAAGCACGAAGGGCCACTGGTGCCGCTACCCATATTTTGGCCGGTGTAACGCCGAGATACACTGCCTTGAAGAGATGCACTGCCTCAGCTGTTTATGATGTAATGCAAACCTGCGCATGCGCGTCCCACGGCAGCCGAAGAAACCAAGATGGCGGACCGTGAATTTCTTTAGTAATCTTTATTTATATACCGCCTTTTCACTGCACATCGGAGTCTCAAAGCGGTTTACAATTGTTATTTTTTGGGAGTGGGGGTGCCAGAACAGGAGGCACATGCCAGACCTATTGTACATATTTTTAGTGGTAGGGGAAACCGGAGCACCCGGAGGAAACCTACGCAGACAAGGGGAGAACATGCAAACTCCACTCAGAAAGGCCCTGGTCCAACCGGGATTTGAACCCAGGACCTTCTTGCTGAGAGGCGAGAGTGCTATCCACTCAGCCACCGTGGCGCCCACGGTGCCACGGTGGGCGCCACCGTGGCACTGTGGCATTTATTTTAAAAGTTAAAATACGAACGAATTCAGACACGAATGTCACTTTTAATGCAATTTGAGGCGAGATGTTGATGGTTTCGTTTTGTCACATGTGGGTTTTAAGAGTCAAAGTTTTGTGCAAAGTTTAGTTTAAGCAGTCAACTGCGCCTGTGAAACCACAAAGCTAATGTTTTCATAGCAGCCTCCGCGGCTGCTGCCGTAGGCTGATGACACGTCCTGAGGCAACTCTACAGCTTACGACTGGTCTGTCGGGTTGATAATGGAAATAATAAATTGAATTTAATACATGTATCGTACTGTATTTAATATGATTAACAATAGTGTGTTCAAACGAAATATTTAATTAGATCGATTTTTTTCCCCATTTTCCATTATTAACCCGACAGACCAGTTGTAAGCTGTAGAGTTGCCACAGGACGTGTCATTAGTCTACGTCAGCAGCCGCGGAGGCTATGAAAACATTAGCTTTGTGGTTTTACAGGCGCAGTTGACTGCTTAAACTAAACTTTTCCCGAAACTTTGACTCTTAAAACCCACATGTGACAAAACGGTTTGCATTACATCATAAACAGCTGAGGCAGTGCATCTCTTCAAGGCAGTGTATCTCGGCGTTACACCGGTCTGCCCGCCTCATACAAAACATTTTTTGTGTGAAATGTGTGAAAATTTCTTGGGAAAAGTTCGAGGGAGGCGTGCACGTGGCCGCAGGGCACATGCTGTTGTTTGCTGTATGTACTCAAATGGGATTCCACATCCTCTGCGGCCGCAGCGTTCTGACCCGGGAAGCTACAGCTGCTTTGTAATGAAAGCGCTTCCCGCGTCCAGCGGCTGTGAGCTGCTTTGACAAAAACACGACGTGCGCGCAGCCGCAACGTGGCCATGTCCTCAAGACAATGTACACGCACACGACCATTCTCTGCTTGTTAACTGCGTGTCTTTGCGTAACCTGTGCACGCAATAAATACACCTCTGTAAGAAACAGTCTGCGCCTCCTGTGTCTCCCCTGTGCCTCCCCCTGTGTCTCTCCTGTGTCTCCCCCTGAAGCACAACTGAACTCGCCAAAGTAAAGCTGGGATACATACATTTTCCCCTTGCATTAACAGCTCCTGTTGTTTGTGCCCAAAAGTAAAATGTTGTGAACTATTCCAACAGATATAATGACAGCCATTGGGTGACTATTTTGAAATGTCCCATTCTCATCCATGTAACAAACAATAGTTTTGGTCTGTGGCCATCTCCCTCAGTCGGTGCAGTGACATGTTTATTACTCTCAATGTAGCCCATTGCACTTTATTTTAATTGTTGAAACTGCAGACATCCTCTACAGTATGTGCTTCCACATTCCATATAAATAACCATAAAACAACATGAAAAAAACGCCAAAACATGAAACCATTTTATACACTGATTTTACCCTTACATCAGTGTTCGTTGATGTGCATTGCTTTTATTGATTGTATGTGTGGCTAACGTTGAGCATGCAGACAAATATAAATTTCCTTTGGGATGAATAAAGTACTTTTATCTCTCTATATCCATAGCAACAAGCGGGGGGCGGTTGTGTGTCGCACCTTAAATATATAGCATGATGGCCGAAGCAAACATCTCTTTACAGTGTTATTACTGTTTTTATTGATTATACATTGTTCTCTTTGTTTGTGTTTCATACATGTACAGAATCTGGCTTCTCCTGAAAGTAAATGCCAATATTGATTGTAGTCTTTTTTATTTTACAGATGCTACCTATGACATTATCACTGTTGGTGCCCCTGCGGCTCACTTCCAGGGATTCAAGTGCGGGGGCCTTCAACGTCTTTTGAGCAGATATGAAGCCGAGAAAAAAAGGTATGGATCCAAACTCAGTTCTGGTCCTATTTCCTCATGATTTCAGATACTAGAACAACTTTTTTCTGGCATTGGTTAGTTTGCCCTTAGCAATGAAGTAGGTTTGCAATACTTCGATATTTTGACAATCTTTCAAGGAAGATTTATGAAACTGAATGAAAGAAAATGTTAAACTTGGATTGTGCGGTTGTTCATTTGGCACCAACTATAGCGCAGACAGAAATGTTGACAAAATAATTGCACAGGTTGTACTACTACTCTTGAACAGTAAATAGTTAAATGTTCTTGTGACTTTAACCGGCACTTATGCTGAGAGGATTCATACTGAGTTCAAAACGACCGTCTGACAGCTCAATTTGACTGGAGGCATCACAGCGTCTGGAAAGAGCTTGTACAGTCTGGTGCTGGCTGGTCCTTTCCACTATGTTGTGTCTTTTATAACTGCCAGAGCTGTCTGTAACTTCTCTAAGAACTCCCCAGCTTGAGCAAAAATTAAAATTCTCTTCAGCTCAAAAGTGCTCGGCCCATTTCGAAGGCTTCAAAGTCAGATAATTCTCAAAAAAGCAAACAGCGCATTGCATTTAAAGTTGGATTCTGGTTCTCACATTGGTCAAAGTCAATATAGTCATGCGTAGAGCTGAGGGAAGATTGGATTTGATATGTGATTGAGTGAAGTCTGTGGCTAGTAGCTGTTCTTGCTTTGATTGCGTGATAGGAAAAATATGCCTCCACACTTGACTGGGTAAAATGAGAGCTCGCTGCAATGACTCTCTTTGCGTAGATGATGTATTTGCTCTTGGAATATGCTCTCCAGGGCAACATACCCATATAGCCATATACCAACCATAGATCAGCAATATCCGGCAAATTGTGCTGTCTTTGCTCCTTTGAAAGCCGCATGCATGGAGCGCACAAGTATGTGTCACTGGCCTTCACTATGGTCACTTGAGTGATGCTTGAAGAAATGAAGGCTGATTTTGTCCCTAAGCTCCCCACGGAGTGCAAAGTCATTACAGAGCGTGCCAGATCCAATTAGTTACAGAGTTTGTGGCTCCGAAAAAGGGCGGGTTGAAGGACCAAAGATGGAGAAGCTATAAATTGGATGAGAAAATAGTCTTCTGCTGGTGATAAAAAATAAAGAAAGGGAGTTCTTAACGCTAAGGTGCACAAGCAAATCCTGGTCAAAGATTGCCCAGTTTTTATCTGCTAGCATGAACGGCAGTACTGATAAGGTTAGCATATTTTTTGACTATCCAGTCAGTTTTCTTTGAACAAGAGATTACAATTTGAAAAAAGAGAGCGCCTCAAGGGAACAGAACGTTTTTGTTTCATATTTGACTTGGCTAATGATTCACTGTAGCTAAAATTTTCCAATTTTACGCCTGGCTTGCTGACTGCGGCCTCCTGCTCAGCTTTATCCATGTTTGGCCTGTTACCAGTTATTTGTATTTTATGATCAAAGAAAGTAGTAAGACAAGATGTAGAGTTCCAATGTCCTTCTTGATTGAAGTTAACATAAGCTGTGGTACCTAAATTTCAAAACCCTATAACGGGACTACGATATATGCAATATAATCCATGTAACTAGTCCCTTGCTTTCTAAACATTATGGTTTTCATATTCTTGTATTTTTGGCCTCTGTCACATTTTTTTGTCTGCTTTTTCCGATAGAAAGGTTAAAAAGAGAGGACCAACCTGACTCTGATAAAATAGTCAAATAGTGCCTCACAGGGCTCTTTCTAAGAAGCAGGCAACAGATTGCATTAATGAAGATAAATGTTGTAATCTGATTTGGCAACAACTGATTTTTTATTGTAAAAAGGATCTGTAGGAGTTATTGCATTTTATTAACCTTTTTTGGTTCCTTGTATTTTTTTTAGTTCTTGTTTTCTAATTTGGGAGAATCCATGCACAACAGTGGCCCGGAGAATGGAGCCACTCGTTTGGGACTTCTTAGCTCCTGCTCTGACTAACCTAACTTTAAAACAAACAAATCAAATATAATAAAATCCATATAACTAGTTCCTCAGTCTCAAAACAGTTTGGTTCTATCACTAGTTTTCACATGTTTTTATTTTTGGCCTCTGTCACATCTTTTGAAGGAAAAGAAGCTCTCAGCCTAAAGGGTCAAATAGTGACTTACAGGGCTCTTTCTCCATCCATTTTCTACCCCTCAATCCATTTCTGGGTCGAGGGGGTGGCAGTCAGAGCTGCACCCAGTCCACATAGCACCAGCCCCTCACTGATCCTCCTGCAGGTGGTGAGTCCACAGGAGCCTTGATCTTTCAGCAGGTGCTTCAGGCAAAGTGGGATCAAGTGTCTTGCCCAAGGACACAACGACAGCAGTCATCAGTGGGAGTCGTTGGAGAAGGTCTCATGGTGGGCTCGAACCCACAATTTTCAGGCTCAAAGGCCAACACTCTACCAACTGAGCCACTGTCGCCCTGGGCTCTTTCTGATGTTTTCTAATAAAATGAAGACACCATATTGTGATCTGACTGAAACAAGAATCAAATCATAGAATAATATACTGTAAAACAAATAAAAGTTAGGTACACCACCTTTAAAACAGTGTGAATGAGTCTGGTGTATGTGAATGGTCGGTGGTGGTATGGGGCCGATATTACATACTTATTGCTTTGCTCCTGTCACTGGGCCCCAGGGCAGCTGTGGCTCCATAGTAGTTCATCACCACTGTGTTAAATGAAAAAGGACATCTGAAGCGTCTTTAAGTTATTATTATTAGTAAGATGAAACAAAGTATTTATAACTTGTCCATCCATCCATCCATTTTCTTCCCCTTAATCCACCCAGTACACATAGCACCAGCCCCTCACTGATCCTCCTGCAGGTGGTGAGTCCACAGGAGCCTTGATCTTCCAGTGGGGGCTTCGGGCAAAGTAGGGTTAAGTGTCTTGCCCAAGGACACAACGATAGCGGTCATCATTGGGAGTCATGAAGTAGGTCTTATGGTGGGCTCGAACCCACAACCTTCAGGCTCAAAGGCCAATGCTCTACCAACTGAGCCACTGTCGCCCTTATTTATAACTTGTAAAAAAAATAAAAAATAAAAGATTGACTCCATCAATAACATTTGTAAAGTTAAACATGTATTCTTTTGACAGAGAAGGACCTGGGGAATTATAGGGACTAGTTGCTGGTGCCGGTGTGTGCAGAAAACGACTTGTTTGAGTCCATGCTCCCCTCTTTTTGCTTTCCCATCATGTCCCTTTGGCTTTTCACTAGTGACCCTTTTGTAATCACCTGTGATTGAAACAGGAACAATCATTGAGATCTGTTCAATGTGATATTAATTCATCAAAGAGACGTTGCAATGGTGGCTGACAGAGGAAGGGGAAAAAGTGATCGCAGAGGTGTTACCAGGAGGGCTATAAAAGAGCCATTCGTCTTTGTTCCCCGGACACTAGCAGAGGGAGGGGGCTTTCTAGATCCATTAAAAGCTACATTGGGCCAACTTGGCAGTGACCGGAGCCTGAGATGTAGTTTGTCTCCCATCTCGATGGGATGTGGGAGAGCCTAATCGATAGCTACGCTTAGTATTCCCCCAGAAAAACCTGTACATACTCACACAGGGCATGAGCATTTATCTTTCATTAATGCATGCAGTCTTACTTAAATGGCTGTTCTAAAAGTCACTGGATTTTTATCCTTTTTTAATTGAACCCTATAGACATAGCTGAGGATTTGCTGAGGTGGGCTAATCTTTCATTAACACTCCCTGTTGAATTATTTAGCTATTTTGCATAATGGTGTGCCACAGTTTTTTGGAACCCGTTTTGTGTAACCAAGGGCACATTAGGTTAGTTCATTTCAATTTTTCTGAAAGAATGGCACACAGGTGTCTTTTTTACTTCTGGTACTTTGGCTGTGACACATGGTGAGAGTACTAGTTTCACTTCGCTTGGAGCGGACAGGTCTTTTATGCAGTCTGTTCGTTGAGCTTTTCAAAAGAACTCCCCACTCTTATCTCTACAAAAGAGGGTGCTCTGTCATCTAGCCTTCTTGCGCTGTCAACTTGTACTTCCCATTGACAGATTTCTGGGACTTTGAGGCAGTTGAAACTACATTGTACACTTAATAGAGTCTCCAGTGGCTGCTGTTCAATTGTAATGTGGTGACCAGCGTGTTGTCGGACCGAATGAGTGCTTCGGTGCAGAATGGCCGTTTGGAGGGCAAGCAAGCCCGGTCTGGCTCTGACAGGGACCTCACTCTGACGGACAGCAGCTTGTTAGCGTTATAGTGCTGGGCCCTAGTCGCATGGCTGACACAAGGGACAATGGCTCCAGGATGTGATCCAGGATCACAGTCTGGATCTTCCACTGCATTCATTGGCGAATGTTTTTGGCGTAGAATTGAGCCGAGGTATAGATCAGTGGACAATGCAAGATTGTGCGGCAGATGGAGTTTGGTGGTTAGAGGGATCTGGTTCCTCAGTGCATCTGTGGATCGGTCTCTCTTCATGTGGCTCTGGCCCGGTGATGGAACTATGATTAGAGTGGGCTGTCTGGATGACGAAGGAGGCTTTGGCAGTCACCTGGAGTGCTGCAGGGCTCGCTGCTGACGTAGCCGCATTTTGCTCCTGCAGGCTGTCAGCGGCAGGCCACAAGCTCTCATTAATTTCCCCTCCACTATTAATTAGCCATGTGCTGGAGATTCTTGCTTAATTAGGCCGGCGGGCCCACTGTGATTCTCCCTCTCATTACTGTTATTACCAATTCCTATTGATCATTTAGAAAAACCAAGCGGAAGTTTAGCGTGAACATACTTCTAATTTTAGCTCTATCTGTAAGTTGAGTGGAGTGCTCCCCCTGACACACTAAAGCGATGTTCTAATTAAACTGCACTTAAAGTCGAAGCACATGGCTGCTCTCATCCAGACATTCAGCCGCATTTGCCAGACACTAAATCTACAACAATGAAGGGTAAGCACTAACAGACTCAAAGTTCACATTGGCAAAAGCAGTGCAGCTGTGTGGCAC